CCGGATGGCGAATTATGATTTCTATCTAAAATTAGGGCGGAAGTGGTGTAGTGACAAGTGGCACGCTTACCACCACGCGAGCGGTCCGGGGATCAAATCCTGGGTCGTGAGTCGCCCGGGCCAACCAAGCCTTCCATCCCTCCGGGGTCGGTTAATTGGTACCAGACTTGTCTGGGAGGATAAAAACACTGACTTGTACATCGGCTGGCCCCCGCAAGTCATTGTATAGGCCACATCGCATTCAAACGCCACTACGAATGTACAAATGGAAGTAGAATGCGTGCCGCATCCCAAAAAGGGATTGATCAACGGCAAAGCATCGTTTATTGCTTCAAAATCTTATCGGCATCTGCAAGCAGTGTTCCATGCCACTGTAAATTGTTTCAGTTGTGAATGTCAGTGGTTTTATTCCCTAGAGAAGTTCTGTGCCAGACTTAAAGAAATTGTGGGAAGAAATCAAGGCCTGATTGCTTGGCAGCTGTGGGTGATAGCCGGTAACGGCCAATGAGCGACTCACGACTGGTCGCTTGATTGGAGAACAAAGTGAAGGCGCTAGATGTGGATATTTACTGGCTGCGTCACGACTCTATATAAAAATAGTATTGGTAGTATTTCCACTGGTTAAGTTCGGAGACGTGTACGTGGCGCAATCTGAAAGTAATAATTCATTCAGAGCAGTTTTCTCAATTCCACCCCTTCTCCATACTAAGTTGTGTATAGTAGTAACCGTAGAAGGCGACTGTTACGAAAAGACCTGTGTTGTTCACCATGTACTTGAGTCAGAGAGGATCCTTGCAACATCATGAGGATAAACTTCCCGGAACGAGTTTAAACAGTCCCCCTTTGAATGTACGAAGAAATCAAGCTGGAGGTGTGCAATAAAAGGTTCATAACTTGGGATGAAACCCATACGTGCAAACTATTTCTGGCATCATTTCAGTGAATACCGAAATTGAAGACTGGTTCAAGCATGAGAATGCATTCCCACCATTTGAACGAAAACTGCCAAACAGAACATCTCACTTGGGCGTCGATAGCAGATAGTTTCAGGTAGGCACTGAAGATAACTTATTGAAACAACTATTAGAAAATCTAGGCTTTTTTATAGTGGGCTTAGATAGACTTCTTTTCCTCATTTTTTTTGTAATAGCTCTTTGTATTTTTAACGGTGATTTCCGCCTGGTCCTGAAAAAATTGAAGAAGCGCTTTATGGATGTTACCAACTTTCGACAATCGCTGCTGTCTAGGCACGGGACCGAAAATTCGGGGCATGAAATATTCCGCATCCTGGAGTCTCTACTTCCCTGAAGTTCATTCTCGTTTTTAAGAGAAAGGAGACATTTTATGCGTTTTCAAATGAACTGCCACCACAATGCCAAGTATCTTGCGATAGCACCTATCGCAAGATACGGCAACTCCCTGAATTTCCTTTAAGATTCAGATGTGATAAAAGCTGCAGCACGTTCGGAGATTAGCCGTTGATGCTCACTTGGTATACCCTCGCCTTCAAATGACCAGAAATTGTGCAATTGCAGAAATTGACGTGGCATTAACGTGGCATCGATTCAAGAACATCTTTGAGCACACGTGATGTCACCTTTTCATCGAGAATTTAGCCACGTGTGCCAATGCCACGTCAATTTCTGCAATTGCACAATTTCTGGTCATTTGAAGGCGAGGGTATGTCACATGGTAATACAATGAAAAATAAAACTAGCTAAAAGAAAAGAAGAAAGCGGAGCGCAATGGCGGCACAACGCAATATTTTGGATTGCTTCTGATTGCTCGGCCAAAATGGTGTCCCGGTAGAGCAATCCGTAGCATAATTGCTAAAAAAATAGAGGCGAGTTCGAGTCTCGTTTGAGGCGAGGCGTTTTGCCCAAGCTCAACTTTATGATAATGAATCAGTTGCTTTCCGGAATTTTTTAGTTCAAGTTTGAAGAAGGTTGTTTTCAGGTGCCTCCACACTACAGCACCGAAGCCTCCATTATTATTGAAGAGATGAACTACAAAGGATCGTATTCGGTCGTTACTAAGCTATCCGGCAATGTAACGATTTCAATAAGGAGGTTAGTGCGATTTTCATCACATCTCCCAGGAATGTTTTGAATTCTTCTCACATTAGCTATTTTGAAAACATTTTTAAATGATTGAATTTTACATGATTTGTTATTTACTCTATAATTAACTGATGTAAAAGTATGGGCGCTGAATGATCTACCAGAGGTGTCGTGGGAAATCATCAAAGAATCGTTAATGGGGCCTACTTGGCACGGTCCTCCTTTTGACGTGATTCGGAACGCTTGTGAATTAAAATCGGTAATAGTGGAAGCACATTTAAAATAGACGTGAAGTTGCTTCGTGATGCGCCGCGCATTCGAGTTCAAGTCGGAATTGTATCCACATTTGAATTAAGTGTGATCCACGCTAGCAACTGTAACGATAGCCGATGCAGAAGAAGCAGAAGCCAGTGATCCTCCCTTACATTCTGAACCTAATCATTCAATCTTGGAGGCCATTAGCCTTCGACTCGCGTAGACGGAACTCTAAGGGAATTGAACCCCGGATCAGAGCCACTTCTGAACATAATGCATGCTGATAACTAGTCCTCTCGGTCCTTTCGGTCTGCCTTTTAAAATCTGGTGATGAAGAAGAGTCCCATTCTGGAGTGTCATACGCAGTGTGACGATTAGTTGTACACTAGTCAGCTCACAGGCCGAAAGACTCACCTTTATGAATATTCATGAACGATGGACAAGTCAACTCTCAGAATGCAAGAGATTCTTGGTGAATTTATTCTAAGCCATGCGAGCAGGGGCAACCGTCAACTG